GATGGTCAGACCTTGTGGCCTTGACTATCAAAATACGTTGAACAGATTTGTGCGAGAGGCGGCTTCGCACGCTTTCATCATCATATGATCTTCTCTCTATCTGCCACGTGTAATTTTTATTGTAATACAAAAACGTATATACAAGATTTTTTTTGAAACAATTGGGAATCTTTGGAATTTTTTGACTCTTTAGTTAAGTTGTAGAAAGGTCCTCTATTTCTTTAAACAAACATGACATGAGTAAAAAGATTAGGAATGAGTTTGTGAGGAAAAACGGTAAATTATTTTGCACGAACTAAGATTTTATGTCAATTCTTATACAAACTCCTATATATTGGGAACAATTTCGATATGAAGTAGTAAAAATTGGTCAAATTTGATCTAGAAGTTGTGAGTTAGCATGTTAGTGCGTATTCATTCAAATGTCACGGATTCTAGTCGAAGGACAATGTTTTATTATTACAAACAGAATTAAAGAAAGAAATTTGGATGTCGACTTAAAACGTTACTTTGATAACAAAAATCAGCCCCTCTCTTGCAGGTTCACAGGATATCATTACTTGGATGTATACTAAGAATGGGGAGTACTCGGTAAAATCTGGATATAATCTTTTACGTTCTCACAGAGGTCAGAATTCTAATTCCCCCACTAGTCAATACAAAGCCATTTGGAAAGCCAATGTTCCTCCTAAGATTCAGCATTTCTGGTGGAAAGCTTTAAATAATATTATACCTATTGGAAGTAATTTGAGGAAGAAACATGTGTTAAATGATAGTAGATGTCCTATGTGTGGAGATGCTGAGGAAACATTTACTCACATGCTTTTCAGTTGTAGAATTAGTAGAGAGATATGGGATTTAGCCCCTTTGCGGAGTCCTCACATGGACTCTACTATTACTAATAGTTTAAGGGCTAATTATGATAACTTCCAAGCACCTTATTGGTGATGATGCAGATCAGTTTCAACTCTTTTTTTTTGTGTCATGGAGAATATGGAAGCATAGAAATGAGATTGTCTTCCATGGCCGAAGAAGATCAGTTCCGGATATTATTAACAAGGCATTGATGGATCAACATGTTTGGAAAGATGCTATGGAATCTCATGAGCAGGTTACTCTCAGTGGACAGGTTCATTCCTCCTCTATTATAAAAGTACCACGAACAGAACAACAGGCGATTCAACAGGCTCAGCATCTATGTTGTTTTGTAGATGCTTCCTGGGTCTCCCCACATCAAGCAGCTGGATTGGATTGGCTTCTTGTGAATGATCAAGAGCAGATCCTTCTTCAGGGCTCGGGAGCATTAAAGCCACTGCCATCTACAATGGAAGTTGAAGCGGAGGCCTAAGAACAGCTGTATTTAGCCTGGTTCGACTTGGTTATTCTCAAGTTACATTCTGCGGAGACTTGCAATCTTTGTATCGGCCTTTGCAAATCATTGGTATGGACAAGAGGTGTGATTCTTGGCAACATGCTCCAATATCTATTTATATGCAGGATATTGCCAAAGTTTCTTTCAGTAATGGTTTCAAATTTATGCATATTAATCGGTTGGCAAATGTGAAGGCTGATCTTTTAGCAAAAATAGCTAGGCAATTTAACCAGGCTTATGTAATCAAATGGCCTTTGTGAAGCTTCATTGTATAACCTTTCTTTGAATGAAATATACGTTGACGTCAAAAAAAAAATAGATTTTTACTAATTTTTGTTAATTTATGTAAAAATTATCTTTAATATTTTCCTTTTTTTTCAAATTATCTCTTGTATCCGAGTTTATGTAGAACTAGATTAGGACCCACGTTAATACGCGGGTAAATATATTAAAAACTAATGAGATAAATACTTAAAATAGTATTTAAACCTGGATCTTAAAACCAGTAGAAGTCAATTTATATCATAACTCTCATATCCTAATCCATATCATGTAGATTCAACAATATATATATATATAATCGGAATTTAAATGAAAATATATAGTTTTACATATTATGAATATTTATGAAATGTGATAGAAACATAAAAACAATTAAAATACTATATAATTGGTTCAGAAAAGAGTAAATTTTATGTTAATACCCTCATAAAATTATAGATAATATTGTGAACCATCACTTAAGTATATGATTGATAATTTTATTTCATTAATGTCATCGTTTAATTTATCATAGTAAATATAATATTATTAATTTTT